CCAGAGAAGTGAGAAAGACTTAGAATAATAGAATTTTAATGCAGGGAGGAAGCTTAGTGATCACTCTGGCTGTGAACTGCATCTCCAAGGAGGAACGCACGTCTTGGGACAGCCAAGGTGACACAGTAAGCTGGGCGGGGCAGGAGAACTGGGACCAGACCCGGGGGTCTGCTCTCCCAAGCCCATGCTCTCCAGCTGTGGCTCTACAGAAATATATGTGGTATTGTTTTTACTGAGTTGAATGTCTGAATGAACTCCAATTCATTTGCAAAAAATGCCAAGAAAAATGTTGAGTTTTTTTTTTAAATATCCAGAATTAAAAATATGTGTTGCAGAGAATAACACCCTTTTAAGAACATATTATTAAACAAGATCACGGGAAGACCTTTAAGGTATTAATGAGTGAAGTTCACAGGAAGCAAACCATCACATATGATATAGTTACATTTTACATTTTATGTCTTTGGAACTCAGCTATAATTGAAGCCACTGATTGCACTTATAAGTAAATATTCTTTCTGACATTGCCCTCAATGTGTTTTCTGAGATAGGTGTATTTGTTACACTGTACTATTTTTGTTGGTTGTATTAAAGATTCTATTATAATGAAATTTAGTATTCAAATTTCTGTATATAAAATGAAAGTTTAGTATTTGTTATATAATTATAATAAAACCAAACAAAACAAACCAACACTGAAAGGATAGGAATCCACAATTTTACTTTCTTATTTTTCTAGCCTGTTAGGAAATCTGTTGTTTATAAATTGTGGTTTCTGAAATAACCCTCTTCTTTTTGCTACCACTCTGAAGTCAGTGTTAATCTTTTAGCATCAGCTGTCATCCTTCCCATCAAAGTCACCGCTGGTAGTTATAAAGCAATTTCAATTCTATCCATTAGCCAAGAAAAGAGACACTTATTCATGAAATACTTAGAAATTCTCAGAAAAAGACAGAAATGGGTAGCATTGAGAGTGGGTGGGTATTGGAATCTGTATGAGTAAAGAAATTTGAAGTTAGAAGCATGTGTTAGAGAAATCTATGGAGGATAATGAAAAACATTAAAAATAGAACTACCAATGGAAGCAATCCCACTTCTGGGTATTTATCCAAAATCATTGAAATCAAGACCTCAGCGAGATATTTGCTCTCCCATATTCATTGCATCAGTACTCACAATAGCCAAGGTATAGAAATAACCTAAATGTCCATTGCTGAAAGAGTGGAAAGAAGCCAGGTGTGGTGGCTCATGCCTGTAATTCCGGAACTTTAGGAGGTCAAAGTGGGTGAATCACCTGAGGTGAGGAGTTCGAGACTAGCCTGGCCAACATGGTAAAACCTCATCTCTACTAAAAATACAAAAATTAGCTGGATGTGGTGGTGTGCACTTGTAGTTCCAGCTACTCGGGAGGCTAAGGCGGGAGAATTGCTTGAAGCCAGGAGGCAGAGGTTTCAGTGAGTCAAGATCGTACCACTACACTCCAGCCTGGGTGACAGAGTGAGGCTCTGTCTCTCTCTCTCTCTCTCTCTCTCTCTCACACACACACACACACACACACACACACACACACACACGCAGATTGGTAAAAGAAAATGCGGTATATGCATACAATAGAATATTATTCAGCCTGAACAGAAAAGGAAACCATGAAATATGCAGCAGAATGGATGAACCTGGATGACACTGTGTTTAGTGAAATAAGCCAGTTACAGAAGGACAAATGTGGCATGTGGCATCTAAAATAGTCATACTCACAGAAGCGAGAGTAGAAAGGTGGTTGCCAGGGGTTGGGAGTGGGGGGAAATGAATGAGTTGCTATTCAACAGGCATAAAGTTGCAGTTAGGTAAGATGAGTAAGTTCTATAGATCTGCTGTACAACACTGTACCTGTAGATAACAGTACTGTATTGCACACTTAGACATCTGTTAAGTGGGCAGATCTCATGTTAAGTGTTCTTACCATAATTTTTTAAAAAGGAGTGCTATGGAGGACCCAAAATACATCAGGCACTGCTTGTCTATAAGCCACTGGAGAATGCCATTGGCCTGTTTTCTGTCTTTAATCCCAGCAGTAACCCCTCTATCATAGATGTCATTTACAAGGAAAAATGTGAACCCTAGAGAGATTAAGTATTTTGCCCCAAATTATGCAACTGGAAGTATTAGACTTCATATATGAGCTAATGATGAGGTCATCTTTGGGTGTGAAGGGTAGTGAGATCCTCCATCCTTGGGGGATGGTTAACTATCTACATCTTCTGTCCCATCTTCCAAAGCCAGAAAGAAGCCATGGGTTAGGGATTCTCCGGTCAAAGCCTGACTCCACTGAAAAAGAAGAAGATTCAGATCAGTCTATGCTGGGCAAAGTGACTCCAGAAATATGCTGCAACTTATGAATTAGAGGGAGCACACACCAAGGGGCCAGGCATCCAGGAGTGACAAGACACTGTCCAGGCAGAAGGTCAGCTTTCCCTTACATGGATAGGTATGAATCAGACTCCAGCAATCCAGGCAGCTGTAACAGGAAGGCAAGTCTTCCTCCAATTCTGAAATAATTAGTAGTCACCATTAGGAGTGTCGAGGTCAGTTAGTGTGTTCCTGTCTTCTAGATTTATCTACAGGGATCAGAAACATAGCCCTGACTGAATGGACCTCTGTCAACATTGTAAAGTCCTCTCTCATTCCTTGTCTAAATAAGCCTAATTCTTAGAGATCCCATAGTTATCATAGAACTTATCTTTTCTAACAGTCAAGAAGAACATCACAATGTTAAGTGCCTCTTTTTTTAAAAAAAGTTCTGATTTTGAAACCTGATAAACCTCTCAAGTAATGATTGGGTCGTGTTTACCTAATTCTTATGCATCGGTGAGTGTCTAAAAGAAATCGTTATTAAACCTAGCTTGCTGACTGCTTTCACTAAGTGTTAAATAATAAATAATGCATTTCTACTTCAATTAATCTACTTAGACATCTCACAGGCCAAATGCCTTGGTGGAGATGTTCTAATCTGCAGAATCAATCCCCGGCATGACTCTGCCTCTTGACATTTGGAGCTCCCTAACACAGAGCTCTTAATTCCATATACAAGGTAAATGGATAATTTAGATGACCGTGTTCTGCCATTGTGCTCAGACTGATAAATAAGACAAGGCACTGTAATGACAACTTGCAGATCTACTCAAGGCAAAATTTGGAATGAATCTTCACTCCTACCCATATGAGAAATTTTTTTCTCAATTTCATATGCTTGTATGTTTTTCACCTTAATATGAAGGTCTGCGTGTGTGTCTAAGACTTCTGCAGAACTGCTATGTATACTGTTTCCTTACTATGGGATTTATTAAATGATCCAAATTCTAGTCTTATTAGAACTGCTTAAAAATTATTAGCAGAAAGTCTGAGTATTCAAGATAACAAAAAAGTGTGTATGTAATATTATTATTTTGATATTTCCTTCTGATTCTCGTCTATGTAAATAAATATTTTATACAGTTGAAACCATAGTATACATGCCATTTTCTAACCCTTTTAAATAATCATTATGTTGAAAGTATTTCCATGTGGCAAGAGCTTTAATAATTATAAATGTTAATATTAAGAATAATAAGAAGAATACCATGACTCATCTGAAATGTACAGTGATTTTACACTCTTATTAATTTTGGAAGTTTCATTTGCTTCTCTATTTTTGTTATTAATTTCATAAATAGCACTGATGTGAACATCTTCGTGCATAGAGCTTTCCTTTTCTCCTTTCCTTTGAGGTCAAGGGTCTAAAGACATGTAGTACAATTGCCACATGTAAATATATAGATTCACTAGATGCTTCCCAGGATTAGACATGATCACTGTGCAAAATATGTGGTAACACAATAAACAGAAAGTTACTGTTTTTTTAAATGCATACTTTCAATTAATAGTGAGATTGAGATTTTTCCATTTCTGTGTTCACTAATTCTATGTTACCTTCTGCTTCTGCGTATCATTAGGCTTTCTATCTGTTGGCATCACTGCTTTATCATTTTAGGATATTTCATCAATATTTTGCGGGATTTGTAACCACATATAAGAGGAATGGAGGATTAAAGGCAATCAATCAGAAGTATGGGTAATTGGTGTACATTTCATATTCTGCTAATCTCAAGGAGTTAAAAACATACATCCTTTTAAAAATAGGAGCTAGAAAGTCCCCTGGAGGCACTCTCTTTCTTCATTTGTTCCATACTTTGCATAGCATACTTCCTGGAGGGCCCTTCGTCAATTGTTGTGCAGTTGACTCAGATACCTTTTTCCATGTTATCTCTGCTCACTCAGAGTACCCACCCTCGTCAAATATCACACCCTTTGTCATACTGGAGAACTTCACCCGTCACTTCTTGGTGGAGATTTTAGGCCCTTGTTTGTGCTGTGTCTTGTTCTGCCTACACCTCTGTTGTGGCTCCCTTCACCTTGTAATGATTTATTTATGCTTCAGTCTGTGCAACGGGCTGTGAGCCACGGGGGCTGGGGGCGCTGTGCATTTTCATCTCCGTGTCCTCAGTATAAGAATGGTGCCAGGAAGACACTGAGTCCTCCATAAATGCATGGAGGTACTCAACCCAGGCTTGCAGGTACTCAGTAAATGCTGTGGGTGATAAATGAATGGAATTAAATTGAGGGATTAATTTTTATATCAGTATGCTGTATTGATATGTAATCCATGTATTAAAAGCCCAATTTTTATGTTAATAGTTAATATGATTATATAAGTTATATAATTAAGTATAATATATAATTATATAATGCAATTTATAATTCATATCAATATGATATAAAATATCAAAATGATATATTGATATGTATTCAATATATTAAAAGCCCACTTTTATATTATTATATAAATTATATAATTATATATACTCATAAATATAATATGTAATATATAACATATAAATTATAATTATTACATAATTATTAATTATATAAATTATATAAGTCCTATCACAGTGTCTTCTTCCTAGGGTCTAAATCAACCTCTGGTAATGAAGGGCCTGGAGCCAGATATGAGCTTCTTGGAGCTTGTGGCAGTTTCTGGTGGAGGTCAGCTATCCTTGTCATCTACCTTGGCCCCTCTGCAGGGGATGAGCTCAGGGCTACACTTTTCCTTCCAGGTTCTCATGGTGTGGTCCAGGCTCCATTTCTTTCTCTTTGAACCTCACTTCAACATGATTAGAGTGACTGAAGGTAAAGAAATAGGAACTGTTTTACTGTAAATAAGTTAGTCCCTGCTATACTTTTTCTCTGTGTTGTTTCATCACATGTACTCACCTCAAAGGTCTTGTTCAGCCCTTCACACCCCTGTGAGTTGCATTAAGCATTGTCACTGTGCTGCAGAATGCTTAGAAATATGTGTGTGCATTACACAGAACTGTCCAGCCTTCAGAAGGAAAGGACTGAACATCTTTGTGCATCTCCCTGTGGGAAGACAAAGATAGAAACTCAAATGGGCTCATTCTTTGCCTCCATAAATACATTTATCAGACCCAATTAGACAGGAGAGAGAATAGAGTCCAGCGTGTTGGTGGAAAAGCTGAGAAAAATCCATGAGGTTTTTGAAGCCTGAGGTTTTCCATTTTGTTGTTTAGAGAAGACTGGATTGGATGCTTTGAAAGAAATTAAGATATTCTTGTTTACACTTTTCTTTGATATCATGATTATTGGTAGAACAGTTGTTCTTGGACAAGGTTTTTTTTAACAGGCAATCTAAAAATTTCCCAGTGGGGCCTTTACTTAAGTGAAGAAGATTTGAAGAGCAAAAACATAGCTATAACTGATTTTCAAAATTATATAACTACAGCATTTAGAACCATTCAGCCTTCTGAAATGCTTGCAGTCGTGATCTAAGGGCATGACTCTGACTCTGAGAGGGAGGTAGATAACAAAGCCAGTGCTGTCCTGGCCAGGAAGCCATAGAGGTTAGCCACTTTGTCTTTACATCTAAGCACCCTGCCCTGCACCCAGTTCAGTCAGTAGTGATGTCGAGTCTTGCCCCAGTTTATCTCCCAGGGATATTAGAATAAACACATTTGGAAACTAAAGATGCCATGTAAACACAGTAAATTTATCCCATTTTTGTTTAACATCTTAAGGGCTAGAATTTCCAGCTGTCTCTTCACACAAACTTCTTGCTGAGAGAGGGGGCGAGGTTACTTGAATTTGAAGATGTTGATTTTTGCCCCAAATACAGCTTTTTTGAACTACAGATTCTTACTAATACAGGGTAAATACACCTCATTGAGCGGGTGACTTTTACAGCAGGAGGGCTACAGTTTCACCTGAGAAACGACACATGGATTGTGTGTCCTGACACAGCAGTGAGCAGTCCTCTGTTCTGTGCGTTCTGTGACTCCACACTAAGGCACCATCGCTGACAGGTAAAAGTGCTGCTGCTTATGGTGGCAATGGATACTCACACTGTAGAATTTCTTTTTAATGCAAGTTAAGTTTGCAAAGTAAACACCTCTTTTCAAAAATTAGAACTTGGATTAAAACTCATTTATGAAAGAATCACATGGCTGTGTCAACAGCTTAGAAGAAATTCACTTTTTTTTTTTTTTTTTAAACTTTTCCCGTTACCCAGATAGGCAAAAATAAATTCTAGATCATCCACTGAAGTTTCCAAGTGGTCCCCCTGAACCAGGGTTTCTAAATAGCAGCACTATCAACGTTTTGCTTCTGATCATTCTTTATTGTTAGGGCTGTTCTGTGCCCTGTAGCAGAAACCCTGGCCCCTCAGAAGCCAAAATCAGCCATGGTTAAAATATCACTGTTCTAAACTAAACGAAAGTGAACAAATATTGAACAAGATACCTGGGACCCTGGCCTTGGTTTCCACTTTGTCACCCCTTGGTCCTTTGTTGTCCCTTTCCACACCTGTCAAATGGGTGCAGTACCACCTGCTTCATTCATTCACCCCGTAGCGTATGTCAGGATCATTGAAACGGCCTGGCATGCTGGAGATGATTGATAGATATTTGTTAAATAAATGATGAATGAATGTGTGAGGGAATGGATTGAAGAATTTGAGCGCACAATTTGGAGATCTCTAAGGAAGACAGTATCCTCTTTTCATGGGTTCCCCTTGCAGCCCAGGGGCCTCCAGGTGTGTTTCTGTGTCTGTTCTCACAGTATGGATGGAAGGTGGGAAACGTGCCCATGCTCTTGTGTGTCTGTTATTCTTAAGCACTTGATCCGTATTGTGCAACTGAAAGCTTTATCCCCTAACAGGATAATCCCAGTAGTGTGTGTATGTGTTTTTGTTGTTGGCTAATATTTTTGGTTTTGCTTTTTATTTTTCAGAATGTCAGATGTCAAACTAGACTCATACCATGGCAAAGCGCATGCAAAATGAGAATACTGCATTGTATCATTCTGTTTGACCATAGCCCTCTTTAAAAGTTTACATCCCTTTCTTCTGATTCTAAGTGGGATTCATCATGTTCCTTTACTTTAGTTTCCTCCCACATATCCCCACCCTCCACCCAAAACAAAGACTTAACGTACACATAAACATACATGCACATACAAAACAAAAACTCATCCTTAGCTCATTTAGTTTGTTGTAAGTGACTGGGTTAAGCCACAAAATAAACCACTGTTAAAAAATAAATAAATAGTTAGGAATAGCTTTGCATACATGTTCTTTGTAGAAAGGATAACATATTTCTACAAAGGAATAATAACATTCACTCACATTGATTTAACAACCAGCCCTTGGAAATTGTTGACATTGCTTTCTGGACACTTATAGAAAATACCTTTGAGTTATAGCAACTTCTTCTTTACTTCTCCACACTATTCCATAAAATCTTTATAAACACATTTATTTATAATATCACTCTATGTAAAAGCTATCATGGGCTCGCTTCATTTGTGTATTAAGTATGTGTCATCACAAGAAATAATGTAACTTATGGAGGTGAGAAAACTTAAGTTTATCCTAAGTTTTGCAGATTTTTCAAACAACCAATTGTTCAGGTTAACTTCATTCTGCTGTTTTCTGAAATCTGGCATACAACTGAATAAGACAATAAATGGTATCAGTAAATACTGTCTTGTGATTATTTTGATAATATAATAACATGACATATTTCAATTACATTATTTTGACATCGCTAAGAACACAGAATAATATTCCTGAAGTCTAAAGGAAATATTATTGGCAACCACAGCAGTAATATCAGAGACACTAACAAGTTATTTTGATGACATAAAATCTAACTTCTACTTTCACAATATCATTTAACATATTGAACACTGACTAAATTAGTAAGTGCATGAAACAAAAGTTACTCTAGATCCAGGAGCATCTGACATTAGGGCAGACCCCTTCTGCTTCCTTGGATAGACCTTGGCCAATTCCATCCACTTTCCATCCTATACCTCACTTGACTTTTTCAAAGTAGCAGTGTGACCAGGTCACCACTCCTTCACTTCTCAAAAAGATGCCTCCCCGGCTTTGGTGCTGTGTCATCCCGTGGAGGGAGGTGGATGGGCAAGACAGTGACTAGAGATAGCAAGAGATTGAACTCCCAGCCCTGAGCCCTGGAATATTCAGCTTTGATACATTCACGAGGGTGGAGTTCTCATGACCTAAACACCTCCCACCAGGCCCCATCTCCCAACACGGTTGCGTCCGGGATTACGTTTCCAATACATTCTTTGTGGGGTTCACAGTCAAACCACAGCACCATCTTTAGTGACTTTATGTTTTTTCCTAAAATAAGACAAAAGTCTCAAATGTGACCTAAAAGGTCTCTTTTACCCCCTTCCCGTTTCTTCCGTTTTCTCGAGCTGGAATTTCTAACTCTCTCTGGAATCTTTTTTGTCCCCTGTGCTTTTTAACTTGCCTTACTTCTCCTCTTAGTTTGATCTCATCTCAAGTGTTTCTGTCTTAGGGAAGCTTCTCTGAACTCAACACTAGGTCAGCCTCACGGTCCCACAGTCCACCCACTGCCCCTCAACAGGATGCGCTGAAGCTGGAGCTGTGCACTGATGTGTGTGATGCCCAGAACCTTCACCAGACCGAGATCCAAGAGAACACGTGCCATATTTGTCTTTCCTCACCATTGTATCTACAGCATAGTGCCCAACACTGAATACATGCTTGGCAAGTATTTGCGGAATTAGTGAGTACATAGCGAGCACACCTATACCTTCTCTCCTTTCTTGTTCCTGATGATGCGACTCTGTAGAATAGTCATGACTTTTGCTTCGTCACTGGGAACCGAAACGTCCACCAGTGGGTGTCCTCATACTGGCCTTGACTCTTCCTCTTTAGGATGGTAATGATCAAGCATCTCCTTCTTTCATATCATGGGCCTCTGTACACCTGAAGCAGTTATTATGTCTTTGAGTTCCCTTTTCCTTATTTATTCATTTTCTTCAGCCATGCCTCATACTTGTCTTCATTTCCATTCCTGCCAGAGGGTTACTTGCTGTCCTATCAGCCTGCCCAATATCGTCTCTGCCTTTGCTAAAGGAGAATGGTGAAAATCTGACCTAGGAAGCTCTTTGGGTGATTTTCTTATCTATCACTAAATATTTATATCCAAATTGTCTCAGAGGCTGGCAGAGTTGGCATCTTTGTGACAAGTGGCAATAAATTAATTTTTTTCTAATATCATACCAAAATTTGTGACAGTTGTAACCTGTCAAAATAGAAGAGAATACACAGTAGTTTATGAATTGTCCTTCCATTTGTATTTCTACTACTCAAGCTCGATTAAAAAAATAGTTAGCTTTTTGTTTTTCCTTAAAAATGAGTAGAGACCCCTACTAACCTTAAAGCATAATGTATACATTTTAGTAATTCTATTTGGACTGTATAAACTCTGAACATCTCAGCTCCATAGGTACCTTGGGGGAAGTAAGGCATAGCAAAGAATCGGACTGGAAGCACAAGCTGGATTTTGCCACTCTCTCTCCTTTCCAGAGGCCTCTTCTGTTTGTCATCTGGGTGTGGGTGCACAGTGTGAGATGTCACTGGCTGAGCACGGATTGCTAAGGCCATTTAAACATAATAATGAACACGATGTTGATTTAGGTTCTTTCTCCAAGGGGATACTTCAAGCCCAGGGGGTCAAGGGCTCTGAAGATCATTTAATACAGATCTTTTTCAGTTCACTGATGAAAAGTGCTACATAAGTACAGAGAATCATAATTGTTATTGAAACTGCGGTTGATCATCTTGATAGGCCTACTGTGGGGTGGATATTGACAAACCATCCTCTGATTTAATCATCTTTCTGGATATTTTTATTTATAAATGAATCTTCTGTCAACATCTAGTTCTCATTAGCATCATTAGCATTCTACACTCCCCTTGGTAGGATCATGTAAAATTGATGGGCTCAAATTTCTATTAAATGCAGTGCATGTTTCTGGGTTCTTATTTATACTGAGCATCTGGAAG